CCTGCTCCATATGGAAGATGACTCAGTGCCAGGTTGTGAGGATTGGATGAGGAAGGGCCAATGATGGGTTTGGTGTAGTGACCAGATCACAGAATGTAGTCAAAACGAACGTAGGGTTGAGGAGGTAGCTCAGTTGTAGATACTTGTGTATTTGGCTCACAGTCTAAGATGAAGTGGTAAGAATGATCCAGTCTAGTGAGGGCTTCTCTGGCTACCTGTCACTGCAATGAATAGAATGGGATTTCATTTTCCTTTATGAGAGGAAGTGAGAGACCATAGTGTGGTGGTTTGAAAGAAAAGGGTCCCCAAAGGGAGTGGCACTATTAGAAGGTGTGGCCTTGTTGGAGGAAGTGTGTCACTGTGGGGACAGGCTTTGAGGTTTCTTTTGTTCAAGCTTCCTTCAGTGTGACAGTTGACTTCCTGTGGCCTGCCAGATGTAGGACTCTCAGCTCTTACTCCGGCAGCACATCTACCTGCGTGCTACCGTGATCATAATGGACTGAACCTCTGAAATTGTAAGTGAGCCACACAATTAAATGTCATAAATGATAAGCGTTTCTGGTGTTCTTTCACAGCAATAAAAACCCATGGCAAGACAGGAAATGAGAACAGAGTCAGGTAAGTCTTCTTTTTTAATAAGGTCCTGTCTTGGGAACGATATGCATTCCTCCTTGGAATTTGCTGAAATCTCCCCAGGGCAACCCTACCATTACTCAATCAACTCATACTAGGTCTTAGCTCTTAAATACTTCACCATCTCTTAACATTGCTATGTAGGGAACAAGCTTCTAACATATAGCTCCCTGATCAAGTTGGGCAGCTCCCTTGAAAGCAGAAACAGAAACAAGGGTATGGGTTTTGGAAACGGAGAGATGAGATCCACTGACAGTCTTGGACTTCATGACCTGGATGGAAGGGGGAGAGCTGTCCTCAGCTCAGACCTTGCTGAGGAAATGGAATGCTCCTTTCTCATTGATGTGACCAAAATACTTGATGAGGATGACTTGTTGGGGGCAGCTAATGGGGGAGGAAGGATTTATTCTGCTTATGTCAGAGGATTCCATCCCTCAGCATAAGAAGGACTTGACCGGGTAGCTCACTTCACACTCCGCTGCGCCAGGAGGCAAAGAAGCTGGTTCTCTGCTAGCTTTCTTCCTCTTCTTCCATTGAAACCTCCTACCCATGGGGTACACTGTGCACATTCAGGGTGTGTCTTCCTCTTTCAGTTACTCATCCCTGGTGAGACCGTCACAGATGCACCCAGAGTGTCCACAATAAGTGTAATTTTAAAAAGGAAGAGGAGATATTAAGAGTAAGAAATAAGGGTTATTGCTTCTCTTAGGTGAATCGCTACATGTCGTTAATGGATGCTGAGGGAGGGAGAATCAGTCTTTCCCAGGGGTCAGCCCCCTGTTAGGCTTTTCAATCCCAAGTGGTCCGCCCGAAACACGTAGAAGTAGGAGCAATATTGAATGTGCTCAGCGGGTTGTATTTATATCTACATATCTAGGCACACATGTAACAAACACAGCAGAAGAAGGGAAGGAGAGGTCAAGGATTTGAGAGGGAGTGGGGGGGCACAGAAGGAGTTAGAGGGGGAAGAGCAGAGATGGAAATGATGTAAATACAGTACCCATTCTCAAAAAAAATCAAATAAAAAAGAGAGGGCATTAAAACAATGTTTATATTTTGAGTTTGCACTCCAATTTACTGAGCTTTAAACAGTTGCCATGGGGGTAGTTGGGGGTTAATCGGAGCAGAGCAGAGGATGCTGACTTGGAGGAATCCGTGATACAGTCAAGCATCAGATAACATAGCATCTCCATGTTAAACTATTCAGGTTTCAATTAGACCCGTTGAAAAATTTAAAAGAGGTTTTGTGGAGCAAGTCCAAATTCTGATAACGAACGAAGCCCCCTTCCCCGGAGAGAGCACATGAATACGGGGGTTTAAGTGGTGACGGTACAAATAGCTTGGGGTCTGTTTCTATCTGCTGCTCCCTTAGTTGCTGTTGATCCTGCTGGTGAGCTCGGTTGCAGCTTGTTTTCCTGTGAGGAAAGGGAACAATACACAGTCTTTGAGTTACTGCATAGCTATTGAAAATCAGGACAACATTTTGAGGTCTCTCCTGAGTTGTTGCAGAGCCCAGTAGTCCGTCGAGTATTGTCTTACCCTGCTTCAGTTTGCTTTCAAAACTTACTGCATTCCAAATTATACTGTTGTTGCTGAGTTCAGTACTAAAGTGAATATGCTTGCTTTCCGAAATGGAATTTTTTAGATGATAAGAGCTCATATTTGCCAAGTGCAATAAGCCAGATAGTTCGCTAATTATAGCATGGAACTCATCCTGATTATATATATTTTTCTCTCCATAGGCATATATCTTTGCATTTGGAGACACGCATCCTGTTTTTGCTCTATTTCAGAATGCATTTTTCAATAGATGTTGAAACCACTTACATTTTAATTTTCTGAAGCGGTTTCTTTGATGGGTGTTTTATTATAGGAAGAAGTTTAGGACTCTCAAGCCAATGGAGCCAGACACAAAGATGTGAAAGAGGTAAAGTCTGGTTTGACTCTCTTTCACGGTGACCTTCTTCTTCCCCAAGGGCCATTCCCTGTCCCGGTACTCACTGCCAAGCTGCAGTGAGCTTCCACCTCCAGAGAGATATTTCTGTCACAGCCACAGACCTGAGAGACTTGTGAGTTTGTATGTGATGTTTGCTTCAGCTAGACTGGTTTGTAAACTGTTGGCTGTGTGGGGGGCTCCGATCTACTTGGCGAAAATGGAAGAGGTGGGGAAACAAAATGGGGTCACAGCAAGGTCAGATGCCCTGAGTTTACTTCTTCCCTTGTGGGGTGGAGTGGGGTGAGAGTAATAGCAGAGCCTAGGTTCAAGGGAACAACCAAGAGGAAGGAGGGCAGTAGGTGGCAGAACGTCAATCTAGACCAGGCATTTTGCTGACTGTTCTGCAAATGCTACCAAGAGTAGATATTTCTAGAGAAAAGTAGAAAGCATTCCTTATGCTGGCCCTTAGAACAGATCCCCTTCCTCTTTTTGGAGAAGTAATTTTAAGGAGTGGCTATATGTTTGCTTTGTAAAAACACAGTCTTTTCTCAAAGAAAGACTATTACAATAAAATTATGATTTTTATTACGAATTTCAAAGTTTTGGAGAAATACAATAACTTGTACACGAGACGTTATTTTATTTTAAAAATTTAAAAGTTATGCTTATTGATTTATTTTTTTGTCTTGGGGCGCACACATGTGCTAAGGTGTATGTATGGTGGTCAGAAAATCAGCTTACAGGAGTTGGTTCTCTTTAGCATATGTGATAGGGATGAGCATCGAACTTAGGTTGTTCCACTTGGCTGCAAGCACCTTTGCCTGCTGAGCCATCTTGCTGGCCCTCCTTGTTTTTATTTTGAAGGCTCTAATCAGCAAACACATAGAGACAGCCTGCTTTTAGAGCCTTCTGTTCTATGTTTGCTGGGTCTGACTCAAGAATAAAGCTCCACTTGTTGTGGAATATCTCCCTGGGTAAGGTTGGTGAACACCAAATGTCCGGCGTTTGCTTTTAGACCCCGAGGACTGGGCAGCCAGCCTGTAAGGCTCATGTGCCGTTTGGTTGCTGGGAGAAACAGCTGAACTTTGCACAGGCCGTGGGTGGTGGAATACTTGTGTACCTGACCTGCTGTTCAGCTTGGAGCTACCACTGGCTTCAGTTATGCCTTCAACAGGCAGCTTCGAGGGATCCTCTATTCATTACAGTGACTCACTCTATAATTAATAATAAAGGAACATAGGCACTTAGAAATACAAAGGGTTAAACAATCATCAAGCAGCAAAGGCAAGACATTGGACTTTTCCTCCTAACTCTTTCTTTCAAATTAACAAACATTCTGCAAGCTTCTTTCATTGCTTCCTTTTCTTGCGTAACCTGGGTTTGATGCTTGTCCTGGACTCTTACGATGCATGTATGACGATCGTACTTTGTCTAACTTACTCATGCCTCAGTTTCCTTATTTGCAAAGTAGAGTTAACCATAGTTCCCGTGGCATGGAGGAAGTTGGGGGAATTAAATTCACACAGAACACGCTGGGAAGAGCTTTGCATATAGAAAAGCTTCCTCAGTAAATGCCAGCTCTCATTATTATCTTCATTTCAATTTTAAATGAAATGCACAGAAGACATAGATAGTTTAATGCCTTTTTATCTTTTGCATTTTGGAGACCAGGCTGGCCTTGAAATCCTGGTCCTTCCGCCTCCATCTCCAAGAGCTGGGATGAAAGTCTAGTGCCACCAGGCCTGACTTAATGGCTGCCTTAAAGCTTCCCAGTCACCCTACCTACACCAGCATGTACCCATGCCTCCACTGACAATCAGTCTGGCTTCATACAGTTCCATGATGTTTTCTGCTGAATATGTTAAAGCAAATCCTGGGCGTTACATCCTTCCATCCACAGTGTATGTTCCCCCTTCCCCTTTTCCTGTGGTGCAGGGAATCAAAGCCAGAGCAAGCAGGCCAGCACAGAACCATGTCTCCATCTCATTTGTGCATCTTTTGGAGACAACCTCCTTGATAAGTGGGTTTGGCTCCTCTTCAGCTCAAGGCCAGGTCCTAAAGGAGTTCCTGGGCTCTGCTCAAACCTCTACAAATGTTTGCTTAATTAGTGGATGAAGAACTCAAATTTAGCTTTCCTTCACTTTTTGATAAATGCTCAATAGCTATTTGTTGGAGGGGTAAATGAGGGCAGGAACTTTGCTCAGTAGCAGATGCGTATGGAGTCATAAATATTTTTACAAAGTCAACAAATGTTTTAGTTGTTGGGCAAGATTTTGCAATACCCTAAATCCCACAGGCTCAGCATCACCAGAAGCCCCAACAATGCCTGAATAATTAGCTCTTGAAAGGAGGTTTAATTCTGGTACTGAAATTATTTGTGAATGTCTGACTTCAGGCAACTCCATGAAAAGCAATTAGCAGATTCTTCAAATACATGACAAACCCTTTATTACTGTGCTTATAAGGGACACGGCTTACAGAGAACCAAATGTAATTAAATAACATCAACTTGAAATCTACCACAGACTCAAGATCTACAAGTTGTTAGACTTGGCAAGGCAAAAACTTCTTAAACATTAGGTTGTTTCTGGTGAAAGATAAAATTCCATTAAGCAATTCCAACATGTCTTTTTTTTTTTGTCTTACAGACAATCCTTTGGCAGTAACTTCCACTTAGCTTTTATTATATAAAAATATAACAAAATTTCAGTATATACAAACATTACATTACACATTGTACAGGTTAAAAACACTAAGAAAATGGCAAGCCACACGTGAAATTAAAGTGAATAGCATGATAAGAAAAATTAAATACTGCACACATTTCATAAAAATTACATGAACTACATTTCTTGTTTGCAAATACCAAACAGTACCAATGTGATTGGAAAGAGCTTCCAACAACTTCATTGTAAGGCACGTCTTGCATATTTATATGTACAACACTGAAACCGGTCAATAACTTAGGGACGTCTCGGGGTGACCTGTATATGTGTGTGAAGACATGCAGCATAAGATTACACATTTTCATTGGCTCCCTTCTTCGGGGACACATATCTGCCACCAGGAGGGGACTCATAGAGGGGTACTCCAATCTCCTGCAGGTCTGGGAGCCTCCCGGGACGGGGAGGGGAGAGCAAAGTGACTGTCCTGTCGTAGTCTCTATGCAACACTTTCTCATAGACGCTCTGCAGCCCCACTGTCTTGGGCAGCTGGGCTTGGTAGTAATTGTCCCTGCGCAGAGGATCCCGAGGCAGGGATGTGCTCTTACAGAAGGTTGACATCTGGGCTGGTGGGTGAGGAGGGGGGTGTGCATTGGGTCCGGCACAGGATGGGCTCCAGCAGCGATCAGAATGGCCCAGGATCTTGCACTCAGCCGTGCACGCCCACAGTCCTAGACAAAAAGAGAAAGAATTTCCTACGGTTAGTGCACATAGGCCTCTCTCTGCAGAGTGTCAGCCAGGATCAGGGGCGGCTGAAGAGGAAGGTGTGTTTAAGAACCTAAAGGCACATGCTTTTCATAAAGATAACTTTGTATAATGCAAAGCATAGCTCACTTGCGGGGAGGAAGGCAGCAACAATGACAAGCCACAATAAGCAGAATACCCTCCTTCCATGGCTAGCATCGCATCTAACAGGCTGGGGCTGGAATTTTGAAGAGAGGGATGAGGGAGAGGGGGCTGGGAACAGTGGTTTCGAGCAGGCTAGCAGTTGGGAAGGAAAGGTGGCCCGCTGGCCTGGGCTGGGGAGAAGTAGCCTCACCACTCTGCATGTGGTTGATGAGGTCCTTTTTCAAAGCGTCCCCGCTGATGTCGGAGTCACTGTCATTGAAATCACTGTCTCCTTTTCCGCTGTCTTTGCCACTGAACTTCTCAGCTTCTCGGCCAGAGATGGTGTTGAATGAATGGCCCTTCCAAACCGCCACAGGGGGCGCAGGCTCCTTCCCAAAGCCCGGAGAAGCACCGTAGGGCTGCAGTAGGGAAGGGGGGGGGTGTGAGGGTTGGACAGGACACAAAAAAACAAGTGCGACAGGTTAAGCGTCTCCCTGCGAGAGCCCACCCTTACCCCTCCTGTCTCCCTTCTCCCAGCCTGTCCGCGGAGCACGGAGGGGGGCGCCCAGCCGAAGGAAGGCCTCACCTCGGCGTGCGCGCCTCGGAGCCGTTGCTGCCCCTCGAAGTGACAGGCGCTTTCCCCAGTGGCGCTGCCGCCCTCCGAGCCCGGCACTTCGGCCGCGGCGACCGCGGGCGGGGGC